GAAACCTCTGTGACAAAAACTTCTATAGAAAAATGTTCGATCCCCCATATTATTATCCTTTTTAGCAACCCATGTAGAGGCAAATTCGGCCCACAAAATTCAATTGCATAGACGTATCAATAAAGATTTATGGTTCAGCATTACACTTATATCAAATAACTTAGAATAGGTACACAAGTTTATTGTTTAATTAATTCACTAACGACTAGATAATATAACAATTATTTTAATGGGCGTTTGTTCGAAATAACAAGACTTTGTTGTCGTGAGTCCTACTTTTGAGAAGCCAATAATTTATCTTCGGAGTGCTTTACCTCAGCGGGCGTATTTGCGATATTAAGCTGCGTGTGCAATAGAGCGATATCATGTAGTGTAACCACAGTTAAGTAGTATTTGAAAAAAAATCTCTGGCAAATTTTTACAATAATATGCCATTCATGGTCGCAATATTCAGAAACCGAGAAAATGCGTAAATGTAGAGTTGACTTATTATCGGAGTGTGTCTATGCAAATAATTTATTCAAATTCAAATTATTTGAATTTGAATTTCAAATAATTTATTAAGTATTTTTTATCCATAAAAATGAATAAATATTGAGAAAAACAGGGTTGTGTGACTTGATAAATACTTTGACATGTATTTGGGCGAGCAAGTTCGCTGGCGAACGCTCAGTCCTAGTAAGGATGCACCTTTATCACATGTACTTTCTACGAGATAAGCCTTATTACATGATTAGTGTGGAATGGGCCGGGCGTAGAAAGGCCTCAGCGTGTGATTGGGCGGTGATGATATCTGATCTATAGCGGCACAGAAGAGCTGGCCACTTCGGCTGCATTAGGTAGGTACTACTATTTTTTAAGTCAAAAATTCACAATTAATCTGTAAAAATGTTCGATTTGTTTGGTAAACGAAATAAGTAAGATTGTTCTAATTTACAGTAAATCGGGGAAAAAATATGTGGTTGTCGACGTTATAATACTTATAATTCTATACTACTAGGATAAAATCCAGTAAATCATTCGAGAATAATCCTGAGCCTAGACAAAATCGAAATTTCAAAACATTCTATTCATATCCGAATTCTTTCCTTGAGAGATGTCGTATTTTCAACACGTCTTTAACTCTAGAGGTTAAACTCTCTAAATATTTCAGACTGTCAGTATTTTTATTTTCTATTTGTTGTGGCGCTTTTCGTCGGTGCCGTGAGTGCCGTGACACACCGCCGAGGCGGACGGCGAGCATGATGGACGCAATGTCAAGCCGGTGTAGGTCACGAGTGACACGCGAGAACCTGTGATGGACCAAGGCGCCGGTCGAGGTTAGGGATGGAAACGGATATGTCATTAGTGACAAATGATTTGAACGTGACTCATTCCAGAGAAAAAAAAAACTGCTTTAAAATTATGCTATTGGCAGAGTTACCAAGAGATTTTGAAGAAGTGTTTAAAATATAAACTATTTACTGTCCTATAAAACCCTTATAATGACCGGTTGCAAAGTGAAGTGGTCCAAATTATTAGTACAAAAATGAATTGGTTAAAAATTGGAAGAAAAACTAAAAAATAATTAATAAAATAATTAAATTAAGCCTCCTAGAGTTTGTAAACGTGAAGAGATATACCTACATATTAGGTAGAGAATTGCTAAATAATGTCAAAATCAGGATGGACAGGCGGGATTGCCGTGTGTAGATTGCGGCTACAGGTTGTTCTTTATTTCCATTTAATATGACTGCTATTATTTACATTTTGTGTTATAATTAAATGATAATAATATTTTTTTTATTTATAAATTATTTTAGTAAGAAATAAATTAAAAATGTCACTTACCGAATGGGGGTGGAAAAAAAACTGTAATCCTGAAACTGGAACTTCACTACTTTGCTGCCCTTACGGGACTGCACTAGGGGTATTTTAATTGATTGATTATTAAATTTAATATCATATCATAACTAATGATATCTATATTTGTTTAATTTAAGTCATAATTAGTTGGCGCGCACCGCTCTGCGCCGGAGTGCGGATCGGACTGCGCGCGCGCCCGCCTCTGACGTCACCGCGCCGAATATAGCGGCGTCCCCTCTTCAATGAACTTTACACCCTATTTTCAATCAGCAAAGTGCAAGTTTCAGCACAGCTAGTTGCCGGTTATGTTCTTTTTGGGGTAGTGAAAAGGAAATGTCGGCGCTGAGCGTGTTATTTTTGCCGCGTTTTCGCGCTTTCCGCGCGTGGCTTAAAACGGCAATAGACGCGCGCGCACTGCGTACGGCTTCGCTTTTGTTTACTAGAGGAAATAATAGCGCTGGTCGCTGTCCAAATGCAGACGCGTGCGCAGAAGGGATGATTTGCGGAATGTAAAAGGAAGAAAGGGCGCGCTTGCACAATGAAACGAGACTCATTTGTTTGCGAGAGACAAGTGAATGAGTTTTTGGAATGTTTTGTTTCAAGGAACTTAAAGCGTTGGCAAGCATTTCAATATTTTAAGCCATAAAGTAAATTTTGCTAGGAAGTCATTACGATTACACTGAAGTAGGAAATGTTTATTTTTTTCACTTGAAACTAGACTGAATTTAAGCTTTTATTTAGCTTAAGTATATTTTTATCTAGACTGTTAAAAGTTTGGTCATAGTGGTAATTTTCTTTAGAGTAGTTAAGTTTATGCCTTACTAGCTTTCCGCCCGCGGCTTCGCCCGCGTGGAATTTTGTCTGTCACAGAAAAACTTTATCGCGCGCGTCCCTGTTTCAAAAACCGGGATAAAAACTATCCTATGTTCTTTCCCGGGACTCAAACTATCTCTATGCCAAATTTCATCAAAATCGGTTGCGAGGTTTAAGCGGGAAAGCGTAACAGACAGACAGACAGACAGACAGACAGAGTTACTTTCGCATTTATAATATTAGTTAGGATTGTATCATGCATGACGTAATATTATTTATGTTTATAGTTTGGCTTAATGAATATTTAAGTGTAGGTCGTGACTCTACATTATGGCGAGCGTCTTAAATTATAGTTAATTACTATCTTCCTTGTGTCCGCGTGGGCGGTTATTTTGCGACTACTTAGGAGAATAGACTGTAATTATTTTGTCATTGTCTTGTACAATGCGTGAGTACGTCTATAGTTCAAATTAGATTATGTGTAAAAATGTTTGGGTCAATGGATCGAAAATTGTTCTCTTATTAAATGGACTGCCAAGTAGGTAAGCTTAGCAAGAATATAAGGTATCATATTCGTACTAATATAATAAATCGTAGAAAATAGTTTGCTTATAACGTAATTGAGTAGGTAATTGATACATCACACCAGTAAATTAACATACTTTTTGTGAGCTGTAAAATAGATATTATGTATAATATCGTCACATTTTCCCCAACTCAAAAATTAACTACTAATTTAAAGTTAATTAAAAACTAATGATAGTAGATTACATTTTTAGGATTATTGGTTTGTTAAACTACACAATGTTGTATGTAATCCTTTTTTAACTTTTTTTCTTTTGCGTTAGTATAAATAAAAATAACGCGTGTCATTGGACTTCAAAATTCATAGTAACCCAACTCCCGGCGAACTGCCGCGTGTGAGTCACAGGTTACCCAGATACCGCGCAAACTTACTCACGCTCTTACTACGAGTAAATACAGGGTGTCATCAACAATTGCCGTCTGCTCTCTGTTATATTTTACTTCCTTATCTTCAATTCAATTAATAATAATAATNAAGGATAATAATAATAAATCATTTATTTGCCAGAATACGGTTACAAATGGTTATAAAAAGAGAAGTTTCCAACATATTCTATCGTACATACGATGTGCAAATATTACAAAAAATACGGTTATGTTTTTAATATTAAAAAGTAGTATCATTATTAATTGAATGTCATGCAAATGTCAGAAAATGATTATGAATTATTGAAATAGCACAAACATATTCATTAGATTCATACAATGTCAATGATACACAATGTCATATTTTAAGAAATTTTTAGATGACAAATTTCGATCGAGATTTTTAAGAAGAACAAAATCACTTCAGAATCAGTTAATTACAACAAGACTTCTGAGTAATCCTTTAATGTCTACTTCAAAATTAATAATTACATGTCTATTGAATAGTAAGAAAGACATTTATTGTGCTTAAGTAGTTGTTAAATCAATAAAATGCTAAGATCAAACAAAATATGTGAAGAAAAATTTATATAGAACACCCTGTATAGTCCAGTTCTTGCCAATAGTGACAGTCTGGATTAGAATATGATACAGACGTTACAACGCGTCGCTAGCTCTGGCATGCTGGATGACATATTATTGTTCCGCACCTTATGTAACTTAATCAGGTGGTTTTGTCTGTTTACCTTTATTTACAGACTGATTCGATAAAAGCGCATTGTTAGACATTTAATAGAGCTACGATCTAATAAAGATAGTGGCGGATTTACCAGTAGAATGAGTAGGCTAGATGTAGCCTAAGGCGGTAGATTAATTAGGGGTCGAACATTTGGGGTCTATCGAATTTTAAAGGACGGGTGAAAGATGTGAATTGGTCACTGATAGGTCACCTTTTCAGCAGCAATTCGCTATACCTAGACGTCACAGGAAAGACATAGCTATTTCGTATTGAACAGAAGTCCAAGCCAGTGGGGCAGCGGGCCTTAGACGGGCCCTGTATCAAAATTTGTTAAGTTTCATCTAAAAATGGTTTTTCGAAATTACTGAAATTTCTTAGGCAATGAGGGTTTTCGCGAATAAAAATCCGCCAGATGGCAATACGTAGGCGCGAGGTCCAAATGCTGCATGATTGGTTATTTTTGACATGACATTGACAGATATGTCAAAATCCACCAATCACGCAGCAGTCACACCCCACATTCACGTCCCGCCATCTAGCGGATCTTTTATTCGCGAAAACCCTCATTGCCTACTCTGTCTAATCCGAAATAGTCCGGCCAGCTACGCTCCTGAGTCCAGCAGTGAATGTATAAGGTAGAATATTGACTGACCTGCTTGACGGAGAGCTTGCCGCCGGGGCGCTCGGTGACGTAGGCCTGCATGCCGCTCATGAGCACGGTGGCGCCCAGGAACTTGTTGAGCAGCGCGCGCGCCTCGCTGTCCTCCGACGAGTCGCCCTCCTGGATCACTGAGGAGGGACGCAGGCGTTAGAAATTACTAAAGCCTGGTCCGTCAGCACGTAGAATTTTGTCCAATGACCCCAAGCTACCCATCATTATCGCTCGCGCGCAATGATGTTGCTGTCGCGATCGCACACTCACTGCGGGCGCCCGTCGCATATTCGCGACAGCAATATAATTACGCACGACCGATAAGGATGGGTAGCTTTGGGTCATTGGACAAAATTCTACGTGCTCACGGACCAGGCTTTAGTCAAAAAATAAACTCATAAAGGTACGGGACTATTCCCACCACTTAACCCTCACCTCACCCTGCAACTCCTGTGTAGCCAAAATCTACACCTTGACCGTCAATAAAAAACCAACCAGGGAAGGTCAAGTTTGTCCCGGAGAAAAGTTAAACTGTCATTGGACCCGCAACGAAATTAATAAGAAGAACATAAAGGTAGCAGGAAGACGCTGGATGCAGGCTGCAACCAATCGGCGACCTCATAAAGGTAGCATTTGCAGGAAGGCGCTGGATGCTGGCTGCTACCAATCGGTCATAATGGAAATCATTGGATGCCTATGTTCAGCAGTGGACGTCTTATGGCTAAAATGATGAGTCAAAAAATGAAGGAAAATTGAGCATTCTGACGTGGTGTCCTAAATCAGCGACGTGACGCGCGACGAGGGTGTTCAAACAAATGGCAACCTTTGCTTGCGGCTTACGTGCCAGTATACGATAAGAAAACTAAATTAGGGTAATCTAGACAACCATATTATATTTCTGACAAGTTTCATTAAATGATTTTCAAGACGTGATGCATACTGATATGAACTGCTCAGCTTTGAGTAATTCAAGTTTCGGACGACGATACTATATCGCTGCGGTCGCTAGTTACTTAAACTTGTTTAATTTACGATGTATTGATTAATCTGTTTATTTGCGGGTAGGACTTGTTTACCGGATGTCACCTTCTTTCACCCGCATAAGATCACGTCACTAGAGGTGAAGAAACTTGTGAAAATATATGACCCATTGAATGTAGTAGGTACTCACCGATGTCAGCATTCTTCATCCGCGTCAGTATGTCCTGCACGCCGGTGACCTTCGTGGAGCTGTCGAGGAAGGAGCGCTCCTGGCCGGCCTGGTGCGTGGTGGCGTGGTGCGAGACGCTGCGGTGCGAGGTGGTGCTGTGGTGCGAGGGCACCACGCGCCGCGTGGTGGTGGTGGTGGTGACGCGCCCGTCGCGGTCCGTGGTCGACGACACTACGGTGCTGTCTTCTACAGAGCCCAGGCTATGCTCGCTGTCGGTGCGCGCGAGACCTGATGGTATATTGTGAAGTGAATACGACGAAACGAACGACGAAGTAGGTGACCAGTAAGATCTAGGCTCGTAATTTCATAGCAAAATAGCACCAATCACAAATACAAAACGTGTAGGCACCGCAATGTTTATTTTGATGTGCAGTCGACTGTACTACTTACTGCTGTAACATGTACTGTAACTAAGTACTTTTGTATGTTACGTCCGTTATCGTAACTAACGGGCAGTAAGAGAATTATGGATTGCAAAACAATTCTTAATGAAATAAATACCTACTTGAGTATCGAATATTAATTGTTACATAGAAATCGACATCACTCTAGACTAGATCTTTAATATTACAGTTAAGAAAGTACAATTCGATCCAAAGACATTTAAGTTTTTGACAAATGTATCTGGCTACTGACCTGCGTGCGTGGAGGAGTCGCTGGACACGGAGTCCTTCATGCCGGCCGTGCGCAGGATCAGACCCGCCTTCGGGTACGCGCTGCGCTCGCTCCGAGGCTCACCTGCCACCACAATGGAACGTCAGAATCGAAGGACGCACTTAAAACTTACACTTATACCTACACTTGAACGTTCAACGTATGGAAATTTATTTTTTATAAAAGTGTAGAACGACGGTACTCGAATATCGAAACGCACAACAAAAAACAAAATTATACTTGCTACATAACATAAACAAAACAAGTACGTATATTCGCCGTCCGCATCCACATGATTGCGAATTCCTTTTTCGAATTCAAAAGAAACTGCCGCAACCGTCACTTCACAACAAACAAATGACAAACAATAGTACGCTGTTTGTTTTACTTGTCACTTCACTTTTTCATAACGGCCGGTATTTTGCCATGCGATTGTCTCCGGTCCGCTCTGGCGTGACGCGGTCCATCGACTGAAACCTTCGCTTTTACTGAACAATATAAGTATGAAAGCGGCTTGCGCAAGCGTTGTCGCGGTTCACGCGATCGTTGCGTTATGCCGATATTCGGCGCAATCACCAAAAGATGCAATCACAATGTTCACAATACGGGTAGACTAGCGATAGACGCGGCGCCACCTGCGGCGACATTCCGAAATGTTGAAGAACCAGCATAATAAATAAAAAGTAGCTGTCATTGACAGGACTTATTCATAATATTATAACCCGTAAAATATTTATACCAAAGAAGATGGCTTAATATGTATTTACGTAAAATTATTTTTAAATATTTAATCCATGGATTACGCCTTTTTCACTTGTCAGTAGTTTTTTATGCAATTATAAATTTCAAATGACAGGATGTGCGACGCACATTGTGCGTAGCGAGATTAATCAATTGACGTGTTTAATTTTATCATTTGTATTTATAAAGTTTTAAGCACGTCGAAAATGTATTTTACGTAGTAAAAAAAATTAAGAAAATGAATTCGGGATATAGAAATTAGGTATCTTACGTAGAAGTAGACGTCAAATATATTTTCAAGAGTAAATTACCATTTTACATAAACCATCGTTTGTCTACCACTGTGACAGAGGGCGTTGGCAAACCCGAGAAAAAGCTGAAGATCTTTCTCTGATCGTGTCCATTGTCATCCTAAATGGTTCAAAGATTGTTAGCGGAGCGGAAAATTAGTTATTATTTATTTATTAATACAAATCTGATGCACGAACACGATTCAGATGGATTTATTTTATTAGAATTTCAATAGAATAGAGATTCTATCGTATTGTTGGTTCTAAACATGATAAGAAATGCCGATGTTATTTATTGAAGTTTTATTAATTGTTTGAATAAAAGATTGGAGATCTCTATAACCGAGTTTCTCATTACGTATCGCAGCGATTCTGCATCGCATTCGCAATGAAGTGACTGGCAAACGCCGGTAGACAAACAGTAGCGCATTATTATATTTTTTATAGTAGGATATTGAACGTGTGGCTAAACTGGTACGACTGTGTATTTTTAAGACAAGTCTACGTTACAAAATCAAAACACTTACTCGCACTTTTGATGTATTTCTCCGTGAGCGACTTGACCGAGCTCTGCCTGACGGTCTTCTTGTCCTCTCTCCGCTGTACCCTCTCCGTCCTCTCGTGTCGGTCCTCGGTCCTCTGGACGCGCGGCCTCTCCTCTTTGCTCTCCACCCTCTCCTGTCGGACCTCCGTAATCCTCTCCTCTCTGCCTTCAGGAGCCTGCCTCTCAACAGTGATTCTCTCCTTTCTACCCTCCGTTTGGTGTCTGTCAGAAGCGATTCTCTCCTGCCTGCTTTCCGTTTTTGACGTCATCCTGTTTTGTCGGCCCTCGGTGGTGTATCTGTTCGTCAACCTATCCTGTTTTTCCTCGGTGACCCGTTTGTCGGTCGCTCTCTCCTGTCGGTCCTCGATCATCCTGTCCTCCGAGCCGAGCCTGTCGTGCGCGGCGCTGGTGACGTCAGAGATGTCCACGACGCGGCTGTCGATGACGCGGCGGTCGCTGTGCGTGAACTGGTCGAGCGCGGCGCGCTCCTCTTTCTAAAACAAAATATTTTAAACGTCAGTAAGTGCAGTCCGTACCGAGAGCCCACTCACACTTCGCGTTATGAATTGCTTGTGACTGGACTCTCCAAATTCAGAATTACCGACGTATTTCCCACCAAGAATGCTTTCCAACGAGAGCAAAAAAGGAATGACATTGACTCATAAATGTATAATGAGTCATAAGAGGCATGACCTGCAAGGTAAAAGTTGTGGTAAAAAGATTTAAATGTAATGTGTAATGGGCACTTATTAGAAAAATAAAGATACATAAATGTGAAATTAAGTACTTACAATATTGCATAGAAAATAATGACTAATACAGCATTAACTTTTTAGGTGAATACAATTGATTCCCACCGCTGCCTGCGTGAGTAATATTTAAAGTAACGGTACCGTCCGAACCAGACATCACAGACATGCGACATCTACTTCCGGTTCAGCATACTCGTCGGTACAGTCGACAGCAAAACAGACTAATACATCTTTACAACTACGTAAGATATCAGTGTTTACCTTGATGTGCGGTCGTTCGTACGAATGCGATATAAATCATCAATAATTATTATCATAAGGAAATCTTTTTTTATCAGAGGTAAATGGAGAATTTGGCCTACAATATACTCCCCCGCTAGTCGGACTGGTTTGTCCCTCAGTCGCCTTTTCGTTATCTACAGGAACCGGATCGTGCTATTGTACTCTGCTAGATCAAACGGCAAGGAGACAAGTACTAAAGCTCGGTCCGTGAGCACGTAGAATTTTGTCCAATGACCCCTAGCTACCCATCCTTATCGCTCGCGCGTAATTATATTGCTGTCGCGACTGTGCGACGGGCGCCCGCAGTGAGTGTGCGAGCGCGATAGCAACATAATTACGCGCGTGCGATAAGGATGGGTAGCTAGGGGTCATTGGACAAAATTCTACGTGCTCACGGACCAGACTTTAGTGAAGATGAGTTTCTGCGCTTAGCAGTCGCTCCAGAGAGCTAGAGTGCGCCGTGACTGATACTTGCCGTGTGCACGTCCTGGTAGGAGGCGCCGGTGTCGCCGCCGAAGCGCTCGGTGGTGGTGAGGCTGGCAGCAGCCGCTCCGGCGCCTCAGGCGAGCTAGAGTGCGCCGCGACCGATACTTGCCGTGTGCACGTCCTGGTAGGAGGCGCCGGTGTCGCCGCCGAAGCGCTCGGTGGTGGTGAGGCTGGCAGCAGCCGCTCCGGCGCCTCAGGCGAGCTAGAGTGCGCCGCGACCGATACTTGCCGTGTGCACGTCCTGGTAGGAGGCGCCGGTGTCGCCGCCGAAGCGCTCGGTGGTGGTGAGGCTGGCAGCAGCCGCTCCGGCGCCTCAGGCGAGCTAGAGTGCGCCGTGACTGGTACTTGCCGTGTGCACGTCCTGGTAGGAGGCGCCGGTGTCGCCGCCGAAGCGCTCGGTGGTGGTGAGGCTGGCAGCAGCCGCTCCGGCGCCTCAGGCGAGCTAGAGTGCGCCGTGACTGGTACTTGCCGTGTGCACGTCGTGGTAGGAGGCGCCGGTGTCGCCGCCGAAGCGCTCGGTGGTGGTGAGGCTGGCAGCAGCCGCTCCGGCGCCTCAGGCGAGCTAGAGTGCGCCGTGACTGGTACTTGCCGTGTGCACGTCGTGGTAGGAGGCGCCGGTGTCGCCGCCGAAGCGCTTGGTGGTGGTGATGGCGGCGAGCCCGTGCAGGCGCGACGGCCGCTCGCCCTGGGCCCGCAGCAGCCGCTCGAGCGCGTCGGGCGAGCTGGAGTAGGCGGTGACGGACACGGAGCCTTCAGGTGAGCTACCGTTGCGCGAGTGGAACTCTTGGCGGATCACCGTGCCTTTCACTGAGGACAACGTTTTATTGAGACATGTCGTTTTTGATACGTCTTATTAATACAATTTGACACTTGCAGGTTTACTGTAAATATATTCAAATAGGATGTGTTTATATTCGACACGCCCCGGTTATGACGTGTAAAGATTACGCATCCGAAAATGACAATATTTTTGATGTGTAACAGTTTAACAACGAGTGTGTTATCTTACTTTTAATGTAGTTTCAGTAAACGTTTTACTTGTACTTGTTGTAATTATTATGTGGTGAGATAGTGGCGCCCTCTTTGTCAATGTCTTTGTCAATGTTTTGTTTAGTGTTATTTTTTAATTTAAATGTTGGTTGGAGAAGAGGCACCCGCTGAAAACCAGCGTCGGGGCACGCGTGCATGCACGCGTGGCTCGATTAATGCTGAGCGGGCGCCTTTTTGACACAAAATATGCGTGTATAGTTTTAAGTTCCTTTGTTCTATTTTTTTCTCTTTGTGTCAAATAAAGTTTTTCTTATCTTATCTTGTGCAAGAATAACAATCCGACTGCCGAGATAAGCGTCTCGGCACTTGTACAAACATTTGTTTTGTGAATGATGCGGTGACTCAGTGTAGTGTAAGGTTTGTAGCACTCGATTACCTTGGACGTTCGAAGCGCCGTTGCGGAGAGCCTTGATGCCGAAGAGAGGCTTCCCGTCGGAGTCCAGCGGCCCCGGCCCGTAGCTCGACGTGATGACGTCGATGGGCTTCGATATCACTTTCGAAGGACTCGTCGCGCGATACTTAGGTTTCTCAGCTTCAATCTTCTTGCTGCTGAATGTCCTCGTTTCGGAAGTGATCTTTTTCAAATTCCTGTTCGTCACCCAGGACGGTTTATCTTCTTGCACCGTATTCGTCGGCACTTTCTTGTCGATCTCATAAACGGTCTTGATAATCGTTTCCTTCTTGCTTGTGTCCGACTTCTGCCGTTTTATGACTGGACTGGGAGACTTTTCGCGCAGTCTATCATTCTGGATCTCCTGACGCTCGGGGCTTCGTTTTTTCTCAGGCGATGGAGATCTTTTCCCGTTCATATGCACGATTTCAATTTCATCTTTTGATGACGTCCGCTCCGTGTGGCTCCTCAACGTCGACGAAGTCACATGTTTGGTCTCCGTCACCTTGATTCCTTCAGCCTGTTTCACGGTCTTCCGAGCAGCAGTATCGGCTTTCTTAGTTTTAGCCTCGGCGAACTTAAGTTTATCGCTTTCGTTCATTCCTGCCTTCTTCATGTAGGCCGTCGCGTACTCATTGAATCGATTCGATTTGGGCTTGGCAGGAGCCGTTTTGCTAGGAGACGTGGTTCTCGTCTTCTTTTCTGGGCTGGGCTGCCTGACAGGGCTTCTCGTTTTAGTGGCTACCTTTGGAATCGGTTTTTCTGGGCTGCGGGTTCGCTGCCGGGTCAAGTCGCCGACCGCTTTCGCGGGTTCCTTTGCGTGACCGTTCAACAGCACCGAGGTGTCCCTGGGCTGGCTTCGTTCAGGCTTCTGCGGCGCCGTTTTTGCCAGACGATCTGGTGAAGAAGCTTTTTGTGGCGTGGCCTTCGGGTGGCGCTCCGGCGAGGTAGTTCTTTGGGGAGTCGATTTCGACTGACGGTCAGGCGACCTGCCGTAGCTGCGTCGATCGGGAGATCTGGAATGTGACACTCGCAGCGTGCTCTGTTTCGTCACCCTCAAGTGATTAGAATCGTCATGCGTCCGCTCGGTCTCCGCCGTCTTCCTGGCCACTCTTATCTGAGCTCGGATGCGTCGCCTCTGCTCGTAGCCCGCGACCTTTTCCAACTGAAAATTAGAAAACGGTCAGTAAAAACACAGGCACATAGAAGCCACGGAAATAACACACACCGGCATGCAAAAGATTCGGGCACTGACCATTTGTTCCAGGAGGTCCAGATCGTAGATATCTTCTATGCAGGGCTGGTGGTGGTCGAGGCTGCGGCGGCGCTCGGGCGCGCGCTCGGCGCTGGCGCGGCGCAGCTCGACGCCGAACTTGCCGCTTCCCCGCCGGCTGCTCGCTTCCGTCTCCTCCACGATTTTCGTTTCTTCCTTAATCTGGCTAGTTTTCGTCGGACGCTGGTATCCAGGCACCTTATCCTGGGGCGTCTTTTCGGCGTCCGACCGCAAGTTTGGCGATTCGGCTCTCTGTGCGGGATGGCGAGCGGTCGCCGTTTTGCCGGCCGCGGTGGTTTCGGCGCTTTGCCGCATCGGCGAGCGAGTCCGCGGGACTTCCGGCGACTGCGTCGTGAGTCGAGTCGGGCTCCCTCGCGGCTTGTCGTCGAGCACGCGGGCGTGGTGCGGCGCGAGAGCGGGAGTCTTCCCGACGGGACGGTCTTCGACTTCTGGCGCGTCGGGCGCGGCGTCCGCTTCGCTGTCCGCGTCCAACGCATCGAAGCCGTCTTCGATGGACGGATGAAGAACGATCGTGGAATCCGTTTTCGGGGACTTCTTGATCACGCCGATGTCCGTTAGCTTTGTTGTCTTCGATGTGGTGTCTTTCGTTTTTTGAGTGGTTGCGATGTTCTCGAACAGAGCTTTTGCCTTTTTGACGGCTTCGCTGCTCCGCAAAGTCGTTATTTTTATTGTGGGAGTTTTATCGGTGGGCCTCAAGTTTGGACCGGAGTGATCTTTGACCTTGGCGTGGGATGAGGTGGTTTCCTTTGCGAAGGAACCCAGTTTGTGGTCACCGCTTTCACGAGTCTTTACGTTTCTTTCGGTATCTTTGTTATTGTCGTTATCGCCAGTTACAACGGTTTCGTCGGCGGTAGTTATGCTGTGTTCTGTTTCCTCAGTGTCGTCATCTATATTTCCAACTATTTTTCTCATAATAAGATCATGTTGTTCTTTAATCTTCTTTTCCTTTTCCTCTACCTCTTGGGACTGGGTGAGGAACTGCTCAGCTGTTTTCACGAATTTATTTACTTTGTCAGAAACGCTTAGTAAACAATCATCGCTCTTTAATGATTCGTCAACATCATTCAAATTGGGGCGCTCCACTTTTTGTGCTGGCTTTGTTTTCGAAACTTTTGTATTTTCTGCCGTTTCAACAAACAAATGAGCCTTATCATTTACACTTAGTTTTGTGTAATCATCCTGATAAATCGTATTTCTATCATATTCATCAACAATCTTACGTGATGGGCTTCTGCTATCTTTAGTATCTCTAGGACCCTTAGCAAACTTATTTACTTTCTCAGACACAGACAACAGACACTCGTCGGACTTTAAGTTTTCGTCAATGTAATCTGAATGAACTTTTATTTCAGTTTCTTTGAAATATTTCGTAGCATCCTTTTTATCTTTATTTACCGTCTCAATTTTGTTAGTAAACTTGGTAACTTTATCATTGACACTCAATAGACATTCATCAGATTCAGTGATGCGACTGTCTGATACTTTGACAAATAACTCGTCATCCTCGCATATTTCAACAATATCGTCAACAAGAGATTCCGCCTCGTGGATGGTGTGATGAGTGCGTTGGCGAAAATCATCATCTGGCTCATTTACTTCGTCAGGGAACCTAGGTGTACCGATGTCCTCTTCTCCAAAATTTATTGGAGTTGGGCATATTCTATCGGGAGAATTTTCTCTGGATGATTTAGCTTGTTGTACATCAATAATGACATCATCATCGTCCGTGGACGTATTTAATGCCGTAGCTGATTTTGGTTTACTTGGCAACTTACTCTGTGAGACCGATATGGTTGGTTTCTGAAGTCTGCTTGTAGGAGAGTGTTTTGAAGTTTTTGTGGACGGTGTATCGTTCACTTGTATTTCAGGTTTTGACTTCATTCTCTGTGGCGAAGGCTTCTTAGTCTTCAAGGATAAGTCACTCGTAGTTCGCGTTACTTTTGCATCTGTATCTTTCTTAATGATCGATGAATTTTTAGGTGTAGGAGCTCGTTTTGGTTCAGGCTCATTATACTTGGTAGGCGTTTGAATTTTGCTGGTTGTTTTTATTGTTGACGATTTTGTGAAACTAGATTGCGACGTTGTTCCAGAAGTTTTCTTTGTTTCTGTTGTAACAATTGTTTTATCAGCTTTAGTGGGCGATGTGATGTTGGTCGTCGGCTTACGACTGCCGGGAGAATGAACGGGTTCTCTTGGTTTAATTCCGCTAGCTTTTGGAACTTGTGGCGATTGCGGGCGCTCAATGGAGCTTGGCGCTTTCTTAGGGGAGATACTTCTTGATTTACCTGGTGATTCTGGTGCTTTGTCTCCTTTAGTTGGACTGGAAGCTGTTGTAGGTTTTTTGACTGGTGAGACATTTCGAGACGATGGTTTACTTGGCGTCTTTTGACTGGTCGGTTCTTTTGATTTATCAGTTTTAGTTTTCTTAGCATGAGCGTCATCATCCTTGAATGTAGTTTGTACATCCATGGTATCTTCATGGTGAGTAGTAATTTGGACATTATCAACACACTCTTCAGTGATGATATCAATATCCTTTAAACTAGTCGTAGACTTAGGAGGACTTTGGCCACGTGTTGGAGATTTTTCAGATCTATTCGGTGAAAGTTTTCGTAAGGACTTTTGTACTTTGGCCAGAACTTCTTGTTCCCTTTCTGAAATAACAAAATCTTCAGTATCTATTGTAATTTTAGAGGTTTTCTTTCCAGGCGAAGGGGTTCGAGAATGTGTAGGTTCCTGAGGCTGCCTCTCCGGAGCCACGCTCGATGGAACTTTCGCATGCCGTGTTGGTGATTTGGATTTTTCTCGATGGACTTGCGTAGTTTTAGAATCTCTTTCCTCTACATCGTATGTCTCTTGTTTGATTAAATGAGATGACTTAGGTATGATTTCTGATGTGTCTTGTGGCTTACGTGTTGGAGACCTTGTTTTCCCTGGGTAGCCCTGGGTGACCTTGGTATAATGAGTTTCATCGCTTTCTTCAACGTTGTAAGTGTCTTGTTTGACCAAATAGGTCGATGTAGGTATCGTTCCAGATGGCTCCTTTGGCTTACGAGTTGGAGACGTTGATTTTCCAGGATAGCCTCGAATGACCTTTGAATCTTTTGTATCTTCGCTTTTTTCTATATCGTAAGTTTCCTGCTTGATCAAATGGGTAGACTTAGGTATAATGCCAGATGGTTCTTTGGGTTTACGCGTTGGAGACATTGATTTTCTTGAATGAACTGTCGTCACATTAGAATCCTTCTCTTCTTCAGTTTCAACAACATCGTAAGTCTCCTGTTTGATCAAATGAGAAGATTTTGTATAAGTAGGAGTCACACCTTCATTAGGCAGTGGCTCTTTAGTAGGCGAACGGACGTCTTTCGCTGGAGATCTACGGTCTGGACTTGTAGATTTACGTTGATGTTTTATTACATCTTCTGTCGTGGTAGAATGTTTTGTAATATCTGTCACGTCAGACTTGGTCTCCTTCACAGTTGTGCTTTCCTCGACATCATAAGTCTCATGTCTTATTAAAGTAGCTGAAGTTGGTTTCATATAGCCTGGCTGTTTTCCAGGACTTGCTGGTCGTTTCGATGGCGATGGTTCCCTAGTTTGTTTGTCAATGGGTTTCTTTGTGGTATCTGCTGACGGCTTGCGCTCTGGACTCTTGCTGGGTCTCGAATTAGGTTTAGACGGGGAAGTAGTCCTTGGTTTTTGTGGTGATCCTTTGTGGCTTATTTTGCGTTCAGGACTCTGACTTATCTTCGAAGGATATTCGCCCTTGGGGCTATCTCTAGGACTCCTTTTTTCTGGACTTATACTCGATCGGATAGGCTTTATTACTTTAGGTTTATTCTCTCCAGTCTTTTGCGTGTCTTGTGTTGACAGATGGTATTCATCATAAGTGGTGTCAGTTGTGTCACATTTCGTCTCCGAAAATATGTCTTGTAATTTTGTTGGTGAACTATCCCTTGATGTAGGTTTTCGTGCACCTGGACGAGAGTCTTTTATAATTTGTTCACGCTCCTTAGTAATGAAGTCGGTTTGCGTAAATTCCGTAACTTTAGTTTCTTTTTGGTTGGGGTATTTAAACGGCGTATCATCTTTCGGGCTCGGAGTTAAGTAAGGAGACATATTAGGTGAACCAGTGTCGGCCTCAGGCTCATTCAAAAGAAGGGTTTTCTTAGTTGCAGTTTTGTTTCTATTGTCTTCCATCATACCCAGGATTTTTCGACATCGCTCTTCGTAAGTCTCTCGTCTTTCCAAAGGTGGCTTAGGCTTGGCTACGGGTTCGCCAGTTCTCGGCTCCTCAGGACGATCCTTCTTTACAATTGTGTGCTCGGGATGATCGGGAGTTTCAACCGTTGGCGACACCTGAAAACTAGACGGAGGCTTCTCAGTCGGGGATACTCGGTTTGTGTAATTGACAGGTTTCTTCAAAGAGCTCTTTCTTGGCAGACTGTCAGTTGGTGTGCCTCGTTTCTCAGGAGATGGTGATCTGCATGGAATTTTAGAAGGTGATGGTGATCGAGTAAATTCAAGGGTATCAGGTCGCCTTTGATAAGTAGTCATTTCATCAGTTTCACTGGTCACCACGTAAGTGTCTTCATCGTCCAAGTCTGTTACTATGGTTTGTTGCGGTCGCGGTGAGCTGAAGTACACAAACCCACTGACAGAGGTCGTGGGTGAGCTTTGTCCCGTCGATGGTGCAGTCTCAACCGGTTTAGGCTTTCGTGTGGGACTAGTCGAAGGAGTGACGAGTTGTCTGGGACGATCTTTAGTAACCGTCTTCTTGTTGATTTCCTCGGTTGTTCTCTCCACATTAATAAACTCATTCGTATGTTTAAATTTAGAATCTTTTGTGACAGACTTGGTGGGCGACACACTATCCCTTGGAGTCTTTTTAGTGGGCGAGGATGGGACGTCAGGAACTTTTCTAGGAGAACTAGATTTTTCGCGACGCGTTAAGGAGTCGTATCGACTCTGTTCTGTGGTGATTTGTGTAACTTCATCCACATTATGTTGTGAGTTTCGCTGTTTTTTATCGTACGTTCCAAATTTAGACGGCGAGCCTTCCTTGCTAGGGACATCTTTGGTCGATTTTTCCGAATCCTTTATCGTCGAGGGTTTGTCTTTCACAGGGGATGAGTAGTCTCTATCGGTAGGTTTTTGTTGATGCGTTGTGACATCATCGGTGTAACTAGTGTACTTCGTAAAGTCTGTAACATCTTTTTCTGTTGTTGAATTTTTCGTTACCTTATCGACTTGATCTTGAGTAAAAGTAACAGGCCCTTTAGGGGGAGACGGCGAACGAGAAGTTTTCCTTAGTGTTGACCGCGGAGTGTCCGGGCGGCTGTCACCTGAAGGGCTGTGGCGCGCCGGAGATGGAACTTTCTCGTGTGCGCGGTGTATGTTATCAGTTGTTCCGTAGTCTTTTTCTGTAACGCTCACGTCTTGTCTACCAGTACGAGTGTACATTTTAGTTTCTTCATCGATGAATGTGTAATGATCTTCTGTTGCTTTTGTTATCTTCGATTGTCTAGCGGGGGACTTCCTATCGGGGCTCGCGGAGGGCTTGTGAGGTGCACTTCTCGGTGCATCAGTCGTAGGACTGGTCTTGGTGGTCGCCGTCGGTCTCATATATCCGGGTTTTCTCTCCGGGCTGACTCTCGGTTGCTGAGGTGTAGCTTCCTTTTGATAAGCAGGCTTCCTTTCGGGACTCGAACTGGGTCTCGTATTGAGCTTTGAAGGAGAAGTGCTACGTGGGAAATTGGCGGTAGGACTTGAATATTGGTCTGCAGGAATCTTATATCCTGGGGTCGAGTCAGTCGGAGTAGAATATTCTTTCGTAGGGCTTTTTGTGGTTCCCTCACCTGGTTTTCTGGTAGGGCTCTGACTAGGTCTCGTAGAATATGTATCATTATGATCTCGAGGCTTCGAGGGAGAAGTATGTCTAGGAAAGCTATCCGCTGGGGTGCCATCAAACGCAGGCTTCCTATCGGGGCTCGGGCTAGATCTCTGTCCCTTGGGTGCTGGTTTTCGATCAGGACTCACGCTCAGTCTCATCGAATGACCCACAGGCCTAGACGGGGAAGCCGTTCGAGGGTGGTTGTCAGCTGGACCGGTTTTGTTCGGAGAGCTCCTGTCGGGACTGGCACTCGGGCGGTACGTATAATCTTGCGGTTTCTTATCAGGGCTAACGCTGTATCTCGGTCTAGATCCGTCCTGCGGCTTTCTATCCGGACTGGAGCCAGGTCTAGTGGGAGATTTTCCGTGAGGAGGTCTTCCCTCGGGACTGGTGTACCTGTGCGTCTTGCTCTCGGTGACGGATTGCGTAGAATGGGAGCTCGAGTATCTATCGGACACGGTACGAGTCGGGGAGTGTCTGTCGACTTTGCTGGGACTCCCGCCGCGGCTCGGAGGCTTCCTGGAGGTCTTGTCGGGGCTGACGCTGCTCCTCAGGGACGACGTGCTCGACTGAAAAGTGCGGGCGCCCGGCGACGAGGCGCGGGTGGAGGGCCGCGTGGAGGGCGGCGTGTCGGCGCGCAGCGAGCTGGCCCAGGCCTGCTGCGACGGACTCCAGTCGTTGCTTATCTTCTTTTGAGAAAAATCAGTTTGGTACGTCGTCTGGTATCTCTCCGTGCTCGTTTTTCTCTCGACCACTTCCTCGACCTTATTATCTCTGGTCGTGTGATGAACTCGTTCCGCCGTACTCTTGGGCTGATCGCACTCCTGCGGACCGGGTCGCCGCGCGCTCCTCTCGTCCGTGACGACGTCACGTCTGATTTCGTTCACATCGGACTCGAGCCGCTGCTTGTTCACTCTCTTCTGACTGTCGTAGGTGTCGTTCTCGGTCGTCGTATAGTGTGTTCGCTGATCCCTTTTGAAATCATAGTCGTCGGACGTCTTTTGGGAGTCCACGATGTCAACGAAATCATTGTCGACATTGTGACGGGTAATTTTCGAGGTCGATTCCCTCACGTCAGATTTTTGTTGCGACGTGGTGCGGGAGGACCTGTTCTCGCTGGTGGTGCGGTGCTCGCGGTGCTCGGCGCGGCTGACGTGCGCGGGCGCGCGGAACTCGCGGCGCGTGCTGGTGACGCGCGTGCCGTCGGGCAGGCGGCGCGTCTCCACGATCACTTTGGTGTCGTCGTCGGGGTAGTCCACCTTCCTGGACACCAGTTCCCCGGTTTCCAAATCGCTCCTTCTCAAGTTTTGCTCGTAATCGTTAGTCGCCTCTCTTCTCTGCGTTTCTTCGGTACGGTTAGTGTCGCGCGTGAATTGTCGTCGGTCACAGTCGTCGTCGGTTAAATATGGCACTGGGTCGAGTTTCGTCGAGGAGACCTGCTGGAACTTGGACGTGGAGGAGGAGCTGGTCTTCGAGGACGAAACGTGGGTTCCGTCGTCGGTCTGGCGCACGACGTGCTCGCGGGCCGCCGTGCTGGTGGAGCTCTCGTCGCGCTGGAGGCTGGAGGTGTCGTCGTGGTACTCGGTGTGAGCGCGGCGCTGCGTATCGAGCGCGGCGAAGTGCCCGCGGCCGCCGGGCACGTCGTAGTGTCCGGCGACGTCGGCGGCGACGGTGCGCACGCGCGTGTGGCCGTCGTCGCTGGTCGTGTTCTCGGACTCGACGTTCCAGCCGGCGTTGGAGAGCTCCTTCAGATCTGCAAAGAGTTCGGGCGTCATTGGCGGCGCGGGCTCGCGGGCGGGTGTTACCGGTTAGGAAGCGTTAGTCGGTTATTGTATCGGTGTGGTAGGCACCTTGGCCGCGGTACGTGAACTCCTTGGGCGGGGAGCCCGCGTCGCGCACCTCCTTGCTCTTCATGGACTGGAAGCTCTGGTCGGCGAAGGACTTCACGTGGCCCTGCGTCGACGTGAACTCACAACCTGTCGAGGGGGGCACACACGGCTACTCTAGAGGCTTTACGTAAACAGTATAAATACGGCACAGATAAATATACTTCTACATATAAGTGTACGAGTGAGTGACAAAGGGTGACACACATAACTAGTGTTTGCTTTTTCAAATATATTTCTACAAGCGTGAGACGGTGTTCGCTAATCTTGTCATAAAACTGTCTCATAAAATAATAGTGTAATTACATTACATATTAATTAACGACAATATTAAGCGCACGGACTACTGCTATGCATATTAAGCACATTTAATTTTATTAAGCTAGTGGTTCAACAACGTAATAAAGTTTGAAAGGGCTTGATGAGATCACTGAGTGTGCACAAAGGGTATTATTGCAAGAGGAAGGCTACCTTTGTCGCCGGCAGGCTCCGGCGAGTAGAGGTTGCGCAGGCGCTCCTCGCGCAGGCGGTACATGTGTGCGCGGATCTCTTTCTTGCGGGAGAAGTCCTCTGTCTGCTGCCACTGGAAACGTTAAGTAAACTAATTAAATAAAGTGAGCATATCATAAAACATATCCTCATTGAGACCACGATCCTAAGAGGGTTTGATGCGGCGACTTAACTTTAGTTGTTTAATAGGGGGTTATTCGTTCCTTAAGAATACAAATTAAGTCTTATTTACAATTGACATTGAATTATTATGATATGTAACTATAAATTTTTGTTTGTATTTTTATATGGGACTAATAATTTGTATGCCACTCATAGGCCAAACATACGAGCTCTACCCATTATTATGTACCACCTGAATTCTACATTTACCTATGTTTTACAAATAAATTATTTGATTGATTGATTGAATTAATAAATGATACTATAAAGAATTCATCGTATTGTATGTTCATTAACTTGCTTCAATTCTGCACAGACATGCAGTTAGTTGCTCCTTTTCGTTTCGTAATAGCTATTGCAACTGTAACCTCTTGCTATTGATATTCACCAGGCGTTTATCCATGCATCTTAATTCTTTCATTCAACATTGGAGTCATAAAATAAAATATAATATGATGAAACAACGTGATTATTATAATAACTTACCATACGCCGCAACACGTCCTCGTCGCGAATAAGTGACACGTCTCCTTCAGACATTCTGTGAACAAATTAAAATGGAAATAAGTAACAAGCACTTATGCAATTCAAATTATTTATGTTTCAATAAATATAGTAGTAATTTCATCACATTAAAATTTAGTATCTTGTATATTTAAATAAACATAGCCGTATAGAGGCATTGCCTAAGAAGGACATGTTTCTGATGCCACATTAAGTAAAGTGACATGATCATGAGACTGCACAGCACTACATTGCGTAATGGTCAATGCAGTCATTCCGAGAACAACCTACAAAACTATAAAAATAACAAGCTTTTTGTAGCACCCATATAATTATGTGTGAGACTGTCAATAACAATACCTACATTTTTATTCAGACAGCACCAATTTTTGTGACATAAATTTTAATTAACCCTCAAGGCTGTCTACCGTTGACTCTCAGCCCCGAGCGTCGCATATACAATATAAATTTTGTAAACATGAATAAATAAATATGTATTTATTTTTATGAAAGTGTCATAATCATCTTGATTAAAAGTTTTAAGCATCTAGGTTACTTATCATTTTCCCAATATGCTATTAAAAAAATCCTACTAGGGCGTAATACTTAGGCAAGGATAGTGTTTTATTTAATTGCATACTGGTTATTATATCTGGAATTTTCAATCGGTTACTAATAAAATTCGCGTTATATTGACCGAGTATGTACTGGAACATATACAAGAGTGAGCGATTGTTTAATATTATTTTACCAACTGCAATGAATGAAGCAGCGCCGGCAAATACAGTGCATATAAAGGTATTTATGCCAATGTTTACGCTGACGACACGTGGAGAGACCAATTGAACTTGCTGAAGCGCATGCGTCTTTCAGGCCAATTGTGCAGCGACCTTCGCGCCCTGATATGCTGACAATATCATGCCTTGCATTGACACAAATCAAGGAAGTAAAATATGTGCTATACTATGGTAAAACAAATCCTATAGACTGAAAAATATTATTGATGCATTGGATATTCTTTTGAAGACTCACAAAAAATCATATCGTAAGTAGAGTACGTTACGGTTTTGAATTGAATCATTCTAAATTTCTGATACTATATGATTAATAAACGAGGATCTGAGCATTAGAGACAAATTTCAGGCACTGAATAAGTAGATGTAGTTAATTACGTACATTCATAACTGGTTAAAGGGACCGACTGCATTCGACCTGCAATTTTCTTTACTGGTTCCAATTCTGGACGTATCAGACAGAACGCTTTCAGGAATTCAGATTATTGCTTTCTTGAGCAATAAAAATTTGTGTCAATTGATAAGCAGCAACTTTTATCAGCCTACAATTAAGTGCATCGATGACTTCACGTCGACCTTCCAGCAATGTCATACAGATTATTTTGTATGTTTTTATGCCCTGAGTCACGCATCCTCGCAAGCACGAGGGCTGCCTTGAGCGCCAGATGGCGACTTGTTCAACAGCAGGTACACTTGTCCGCCATGTTGGGCTGAGTGCCACCCCGGCGCCCTTGTCCTACTGCAAAACGGCTGTATATGGACTCAGCATAAAGCCTGTGGTTTTGCCTTTACGGGGCAGTTACTGCAGCGTTGAAAAAAATGTGGCACAAGCGTAATTTGTAGTTAAGATAGTCATCGGTTTGTAGAGCTGATTAATAAATGCATGAAGATTGTAAAAAGATTTACCGGATGGAAAGAAAAATCTTTGCAATTAGTATCTACGTGTAGGTAAATAAAAGTACATACCTACTTAATATGTTACAATACTGTTTCCACAGATTCTTTGCTCATTACACTTTCTCAGAAACGCTTAAGGGAGACGCGAAACTAAAAAGTAAACAAAAGCCGCAGTCGCCGAAGATGAACTCACGCGCACAGCCGGTGACGTCACTGCGCAGGAGTCGATGACAGTCGCGTGATGCAACTAGTCTGCTGTCGGCGCCGGTAATGATGATGTATCGATTGTTTGGACATGTGTCGAGTGATGAAAGAGTTTAAGTGCGAGAGACAGTTACCTACAAGTGATGATCTGATGGCTTTTGGAACTGGCCAAGTAGTTAACTGTAAAGTAATACTCTTACCTACTTGTTCAAATAAATTTGTGCCACACTATCGCCTTCTGTCATGGTCTTGTATCAGGGAATGGTTGTAGCATTGTGTAAACGGTTACCAGACAACGCATTTCTGTCGACTAATTAATGAATTGCTTAACTGGAGGTGAACAAGCAATGGTAACACCGGGCAGTAATCACCTTTTACTGCGCCATGTACAAATTACAGGCGGGCCCTGCGCCCTGCCGCGCCCGGGATCCGAAGGCTTGACCTGGCCAACGAGAGGTGAGCTTTCTAACTACCAGGCTAATGGGCAGACACTGTGATTGCCTATATTTTAGACAAGCTATCGCCCGCGGCTCCGCTTCCGTGAAACTCGGTTTGTATACAAGAAAGTGGAAGGCGCATCCTCGTCAATCCTCTATTAACAATAATGTTCAACTATACTGAGTGTAAAAACTAATAAGGTAGAAGGATTACATATAACCAACTAAATTATTTAGGTTAAGTTACAACATAATGTCCTACTTCAGCATTAGGTAACGTAACTTAGTTGCAGTCGTTCTGCAGTTACGTGGACGCGAGCATATTCCAATAGACGACAGCTAAATAAAGTCATTAAAATCTTATTTTATCAGTAGTAACAAAGTAAACAAACTTTAACTTATTTGCATTGTAATCGAAAGGCATCAACACAAACACATTGTCCCACTGACTCTACTGCAGTCTTTGTTCAGGGAGTGACTAAACCAATAATTGTTTTCTCACTTACTCGTTAGTGTTTGTGACACGGTCTTAAGAGCGTTTACGTCTAGCGTGGCATGTCAAGTTTAGGTAATTTCGATGCTAGTTTTANGACTGACATGTTTATCGTATAGTACAGTCCACTATGAAAATTAGCTGTAGTCTGTTACAACTACTTATTTTAATGTTTTTTGTCACTTTCTAAGTTTTGAATTTTATGGAATTGGGAAAGAAGTATCGAGTTTGAAGCGTTCATGAGCAGACATTGCAGTTGAATATTTAAGTTCTGAATTTGATTATTGATGAATAATAAAATAAATCCTTCTAGCTCGATTGATGGTTTCATTTAATTTATTTAAACCAGGTTACCTTTAATAATAGTTTTCGTTAATTTATGAAAATGTCAAATTAGCCCGTAATCCTGAATCCTGATACCTACATAAATTTAGCCTATTAATTTAACACATGTAGGATTGTACTCAGTGTTGCACTATCAAATGCAATTGAAGCGCCTCTATGCCAGGGTTTTTATGTTCCTGGTCAGGCTATACATTCATAACTGGTTAAAGCGACCGATTGCATTCGACTTGCAGTTTTCTTTACTTGTTCCAATTCTGCACGTATCAGACAGAACGCTTTCAGGAATTCAGATGATTGCTTTCTTGAGCAATAAAAATTAGTGTCAATTGATAAGCAGCAACTTTTATCGGCCTACAATTAAGTGCATCGATGACTTCACGTCGACCTTCCAGCAATGTCATACAGATTATTTTGTATGTTTTTATGCCCTGAGTCACGCATCCTCGCAAGCACGAGGGCTGCCTTGAGCGCCAGATGGCGACTTGTTCAACAGCAGGTACACTTGTCCGCCATGTTGGGCTGAGTGCCACCCCGGCGCCCTTGTCCTACTGCAAAACGGCTGTATATGGACTCAGCATAAGCCTGTGGTTTTGCCTTTACGGGGCAGTTACTACAGCGTTGAAAAAAAATGTGGCACAAGCGTAATTTGTAGTTAAGATAGTCATCGGTTTGTGGAGCTGATTAATAAATGCATGAAGATTGTAAAAAGATTTACCGGATGGAAAGAAAAATCTTTACAATTAGTTATTTATCTACGTATGGGTAAATAAAAGTACATAATATGTTACAATACTGTTTCCACAGATTCTTTGCTCATTACACTTTCTCAGAAACGCTTAAGGGAGTCGCGAAACTAAAAAGTAAACAAAAGCCGCAGTCGCCGAAGATGAACTCACGCGCACAGCCGGTGACGTCACTGCGCAGGAGTCGATGACAGTCGCGTGATGCAACTAGTCTGCTGTCGGCACCGGTAATGATGATGTATCGATTGTTTGGACATGTGTCGAGTGATGAAAGAGTTTAAGTGCGAGAGACAGTTACAAGTGATGATCTGATGGCTTTTGGAACTGGCCAAGTAGTTAACTGTTAAGTAATACTCTTACCTACTTGTTCAAATAAATTTGTGCCACACTATCGCCTCTGTCATGGTCTTGTATCAGGGAATGGTTGTAGCATTGTGTAAACGGTTACCAGACAACGCATTTCTGTCGGCTAATTAATGAATTGCTTAACTGGAGGTGAACAAGCAATGGTAACACCGGGCAGTAATCACCTTTTACTGCGCCTTGTACAAATTACAGGCGGGCCCTGCGCCCTGCCGCGCCCGGGATCCGAAGGCTTGACCTGGCCAACGAGAGGTGAGCTTTCTAACTACTAGGCTAATGGGCAGACACTGTGATTGCCTATATTTTAGACAAGCTATCGCCCGCGGCTCCGCTTCCGTGAAACTCAGTTTGTATAGAAGAAAGTGGAAGGCGCATCCTCGTCAATCCTCTATTTATAATAATGCTCAACGATACCGGCTACAAAAACTAATAAGGTAGAAGGAGGCTAACATTACATTTAACGAACTTATTATTTATTTAGGTTAAGTTACAACGTAATGTCCCTACTTCAACATTAGGTAACGTAACTTAGTTGCAGTCGTTCTGCAGTTACGTGGACGCGAGCATATTCCAATAGACGACAGCTAAATAAAGTCATTAAAATCTTATTTTATCAGTAGTAACAAAGTAAACAAACTTTAACTTTGCATTGTAATCAAAAGGCATCAACACAAACACTTTGTCCCACTGACTCTACTGCAGTCTTTGTTCAGGGAGTGACTAAACCAATAATTGTTTTCTCACTTACTCGTTAGTGTTTG